TGTCTCACTCCCGTCCTGTGTGTTTTCTTGCACTGCCACACCCCTGCTTGCGAGGGGCTGCTGGGACCGAGGAAGGCTGTCCTCCATAGGCTGGTCTTGCCACCCCAGGCCAGAAACCGGGAGGCAGCACAGGCAGCTGCTGCAGACCTTCCCCAAGGCGGGTCTCTCCTCTGGGAATGGGCCTGGCAGGAGCCACTTCTTAGTGACAGGCCCCAGCTAGGCCCCAGGGACAGGCTGCCTCTGGTCCTCTTGTGGCTCAGAGACTCACACTCTGGGCTTGAGAAATGCAGCCAGATGTGAACTTTTCATCAATAAGGAGAGCTCTAGATATAAAGGGTGATGGGAGGGACAGGTAATTCCAGGAAAGCATATGCTTATATTTAGGGGAGGTGAATAAGGGACATAGTACGGCTTCACCCTCGTTGCTATCCTAAGTTGCATGTGTGTTTGTTTGCATATCCGTTCACTCAACAAACATTTATTGGTCCCCCACTGTGCGTTAGACACTGTAATAGGCATTGGAGATGTGCTGTGACTCAGACAGACACAACAACCCCTGCTCCACAGAGCTTAGAACGGTCTGGAAGGCCAGGTACTAGAACCATATTACTTAGCCTCTTGATAAATCCTTTATTGTTATTAACCGTAAGGATAGTAATAGACATTTAATTTTCTCGCTCCTTCTCTCAAAAGAGGAAGCTGAAACTTAGAGAGGTTAACTGCCTGCCTTGCCCAGGGTCACACCATAAGTGATGGAATCAGTTCTGTCTGATAGCAGAACTTGCCTTCTGGGTCACCTGGTTGTACCACCTCCTGCATCAGGCTCCTGATTTTTATCGGGGGCAGTGATAAGAGAAAACCAGGCGAAATAGGAAGCTTCATTTGCTCTAAAGCTTGAGCAATTTCAAATATCCATTAGAATTCAGTGCTAGAGAACCTCTGCCGTCCCTGGAGCACCAGTTTTGTCTCTTCCAAAGAGAGCACTTTGCATTTCGTGTACTTTATTTTCTCTGGCCAGCAGTGCACTTAGGAACAAAGCACAGGTTTTGTAGCCATGAGTCAGCGACCCTCCTGGTTGGCACACTCACCCACTTCTTCCTTTGGTCTTGTTTGCTTTTAATGTGTCCTCCGTTATCAAGTTGCCTAAAATCCTTTTGAAACGGGTTAGAATAGAAAACACTTAAACGAAAAGGTACAGGGACACTGACCCTGTCCATTCCCCCCCTGGGAATGTGGGACCCAAGTGTCTGGCGGCTTCCTCTGGCTGAGTCAGGGGGCATTTTCACCAGTCTGTGGTAGAAGAAAAGAGGGGAAAGTAGTATTTAATAAAGCTAAACTGAACTTAAAGACCAATTTTATAGTCAGAAGTAGTCTTTACTTTTTTTTTTTTTTAAAAAAAGCATTAAAGGTGTCCTGGGACTTCCCTGGTGGTCCAGTGGTTAAGGCTCCACATTTCCAGTTCAGGAGGCATGGGTTTGATCCCTGGTCGATTCCGCGTGCCACGCCACAGGGCCAAAAACTAAAACCACCACTAATTTGGTTTTCATGCTGTTCCTCTGAGCCCTGGGGTTCCTGGTCGGGGGGATTTCTGCCTTGAGGAGTGAGAGGAGGGCCAGAACTTTTTGTCCCATTTCCAGTCAGAGAAGCTCTTTTATTTTATATATTAGTTTCTTTATGATTTTGTTTAGAGGTAAAAGGGTATTTCTCCAAAAGTTTGGAGACCCTCTGCTCTAGACTGTGTGTGTTGGGTGGAGTGGAGTGGAGGAGGGAATACTGCTTTTGCAGGACTGAACCAGTGTGGTACCTTTACCCACAAATATTTCTTATCTACTGTACTGGTCAGGGCTCTTCAGAGAAACAGAGCCAATAATGTGTATATGTGTGTGTGTGTGTGTGTGTGTGTGTGTGTGTGAGAGAGAGAGAGAGAGAGAGAGAGAGAGAGAGAGAGAGAGAGAGAGAG